GATCAAGGCTTCAATAATGTCCTTTTGCAATGCGTTTCGGCGTTCCTCAAGTATTCGTCCTATCGTACTGAAGGCTTGTTCGGATGAAATAGTGGAGACTGGAATAAAAAATATATCCATTGAAAATCGAGTTAGGATTGGCCAAGTTAAATCTCGTGCCCTCCACCGTTGAACTAAGTCAAACGATTCTCTAGTACCGTCGACTACTAAGCTCTCACTGAGGTACGCCATAAGCTCGTTGAAGCCGCCGCTGCCACCTGTTGATGAAGATCCACTCCCAGCTTCTGTTTGAGTTGTCTTCTTCTTATTCTTCAACCCAAAAACATTCAAGAATGAATGGCAATGACAAACAAAATATCTGTCGTTAACGCAACACACCCGCTAGTCGAGTGTAAACGGTTTATTAATGCTTCTTTTTCTTTTTTAAATAATTTTAATAAATATTTCTTAAGAGTAGTTTTTGAAGTGAACTGTGCATTAGGATTGTGTACAATTTTAATATATCATTGCCAATTATGATGCAGGTCATCATTGGACGTGAAAGAACAATATGACGTTTAAGCGAAAGGTCTCTCCACGAGTCTTTATGCTTGTATGGGTTAAAGCAGAACATTTTATCCTTCTTTTTGAGCTGGAGAGAGAGAGAGAGAGATCAAAGTGGCTTAAACAATCAACCTTCTATATACCATATAAGATACAGCTATATATATAGTAAATGCGATATTCTTTTATATATGCGTATACGTATAGTATTATACATAGTGTTAGAACATTGGACGGGCCGTAATCGCCCGAAAATATCAATTTTTTACCCGATGTCCGATTCGTTCAAAATTTTTAGGCCGCCCGGCTGAGCCTGAGAAGCTCCGTGGACGGGCCTCGGGCCTGACTTTGGCCGCCCTAACCCGTCCGAATAGCCCAAATTTTTTTTTTATATTTTTTAATTTTTATAATTATTAAGTTATTTTCTGTTAAAATTATATAAAAATTAAAATCAACATTCAACACACATTATTAACACAATTTAATAAATTAGTTTTGTATATTAATTTTTAAATTCGTAATTCATGATTGTCTCGTTAAAAATCTTACCAAGAAAAACTCAATTGTGATAAAAACTTAGTAAGGAAAAAAGAGTGCAATCATTTTGTGACGAATTACAAATTTTACAAACTTACAAAGTCTAAATATACAATTACAATGTCAAAAGCAAATACATATTTACAAATTACAAATTTACAATTTAATTTGAAGCTGAAAGATCGTCTTCATAATTAAATGTTAATCTATTAAATTCATCGATCCATTCTTGACTTGTCAGTAAAATTGTATCTTGTAGACGTTGATCGGCATGATCCCAATCCTTAATGCAGATCAAGGCTTCAATAATGTCCTTTTGCAATGCGTTTCGGCGTTCCTCAAGTATTCGTCCTATCGTACTGAAGGCTTGTTCGGATGAAATAGTGGAGACTGGAATAAAAAATATATCCATTGAAAATCGAGTTAGGATTGGCCAAGTTAAATCTCGTGCCCTCCACCGTTGAACTAAGTCAAACGATTCTCTAGTACCGTCGACTACTAAGCTCTCACTGAGGTACGCCATAAGCTCGTTGAAGCCGCCGCTGCCACCTGTTGATGAAGATCCACTCCCAGCTTCTGTTTGAGTTGTCTTCTTCTTATTCTTCAACCCAAAAACATTCAAGAATGAATGGCAATGACAAACAAAATATCTGTCGTTAACGCAACACACCCGCTAGTCGAGTGTAAACGGTTTATTAATGCTTCTTTTTCTTTTTTAAATAATTTTAATAAATATTTCTTAAGAGTAGTTTTTGAAGTGAACTGTGCATTAGGATTGTGTACAATTTTAATATATCATTGCCAATTATGATGCTCTACAAAACTAAGTGGTTGATCTAATGCAGCTATCATTCGCGCAACTTTCATACGATCTACTTGCGGATCGTATTTCTAAATGGTTAGACCACCGGTTGCGCGATTAAAAGATAATTGTATTTGGCGGAGTTCGGGTCCGCTGGACTGGCTAAGCTTTCGAAGACACTTTTTAGAGTGTCTTCTCAAGTGTGTGGTGTCGTGAATATTGTCACTTTGTTATTTAGATAAACAATATGTACATTGAGCTCTATGTTTAGTGTTACATTCATTGTCGATCTCCTCAATTGTGTCGAAGTGATCCCAAACTGTCAAGGTGCGCTTGCATTTCCTCCTAGATGTTGCAACACTTGCAGATCCAGTCACACTTGCACTCGCCGCTTCTCCACGCCTACTACCATTGCGACCACGACCTCCAGTATGTCCACCAGGGCTCGGATTAATAGATTCGTGCGTAACAAATTCATTAGTGGGAAATTTTTCTTCTTCCACGTTGTGTTGGGCATCAACAGGAATACCACTATAACCAAAAGAATCCATTATAAAAAAATAAGAGCGATTTGAGAGAGAGAGAGCTTTAGGATAATGTGATAGTTTTTAGAAAAATTGTGAGAGAGATTGAGAGAGATTGAGAGAAATTGAAAGGGATTGAGAGAGTTTGAGTGAGAAAAATGTGTGGGGGATGAGGAGTATTTATAAGAAAATTTTTGGGTTAAAAAATTGATTTTTTCCCCCAAATTCAGATCCAATAGCTATTTTTTTCTGGCGGGTCGGGTTCGGGCAAAAAATCGGGCAACGGTAAAAAAATAGCCGTTGGGGCCAGGCTTCGGGTCGGGTCAGGCTCCAACGGTAAAAAAAAAATTTATCCGCTGGTCGGCTCAGGCTCCGAGCAGATTGGGCCTGACCGGAAAAATTCAAAAAAATTCTGGCAGACGGCGATAACACGGCGGCGGGATCCAGTGAGTTATTCATTTTCGAGCTACCCGAGCCCGAGCCCAAAAAATTAAGTTGGACGGGCTGACATTTGAGCCTGCCTGCCAAGCTTAAAAAATTCGGGTCTCGGGCCGGCCCGCTGGCCCAAAGTTCCAACACTGATTGTACATGGTATACACACACGCTAGCTTTTCACTTTATTTCAGATTAGCAAACTTATAAGAAACATTATATCAGTCTCATTATCTCATACATGAACATGCATGAGAAAGTGAGGTGCAAGTCGTATATTGCATTTAATTAGTGTATACTTGCTTAAGGTAACCTAACAATCCATTGTTTTTCTAACGGTTGGATGTACTTATTTTTTGACTTTTACTTAATTTTATGCAGATTTAACGAAAAAAAAAATTTAACATACTAAAATATTAGTGTACCGGAAAAAGTCTTTTTTTTATTACTTTTTTAAGAACTAGATGAAAAGGTGAATTTCGTTGCTAACTTATAGAAGATCCAAGTTAAAGTTCGCAGATTTCCCCTGGGTTGATTGATTTTTCACCAGGCTTTCATGGGACTTTTCTAAATACATATACATATATATATATATATAAAACCATTATGGTTACAAATATCAACACCTTTTGTTTCTCATTTTTCAATTTGTTGGCCCGCCACCCTGTTAGATGAGGTCAAATTGAAGATCCCCGACATGACGCTTTCCAAATTACATTATCACACATGAACTCGTCAGTTATATGTTCCCTGAAAATAAAGAGGAAAAGAAAAAGAATTAAAGTGAAATACTTATGTCTTTGGTCCAATATTCCATCAACTATATGTGTGTGTATACACACACACACACACACATCATTTTTGGCCTGCAGTACAGACAGATAGATTAGATTAGGCGGACCATTCCTCAACCAATCATCTAGTCGGTGGCTGTTAGTCATTGCCTAATTTGTCCACAAAAGTCCCCCAGAAAAGAAAAGGAAGAAAAAAGTTTGGTCACAAAAAGATGTCGTTTCTTCCATTATTATGTCTTTGGAACAAAATAAATTAAGGTTGTAACATGAGCAGAAAAATGGAACCACGTTTGAGCTGTTTTTGAACATAGGGAAGGGAAGGGAAGGGAAGCCATATGCATATGCTTTAAAGGCCAAGTTGATGGGCGTTTTTAGTTGAGGTGGACACAGAATCTAGGCCATTAGTTTCACTGTTTAAAGCCTAGCAAAAGAAATGAGCGAGCAACAACCAAAAAAAAAAAAAGCACTTTTTACTTTTAGGAAGCTTATCACATGGTTTGGGACCCTCCACTGTGTGGACTAACTTTTCAGTTAGGCTGCAACAAGTTCTCTCTCGAAAATATGTTCAAAAAGGCCATGATATAAGAAATCTATGCGTTTGCGTGAAGTCAAATTTGTTTGGTAACACCGTAATAAAACAAAAAAAAAGTAACAAATAAAAAGATTTTCTCCGATAGGCTTCTTTACTAGTAGTATCAGTTTTTGACCACTTAATATAGTCAAATTTACAATGGGTTAAAAAAGTACGCAGAAGAAAATTTTTAATACAGATTTAATGGTTAAAAAGTAGAGAAAAACTAATAGCTCATTTCTTCCGGACCTACTAGAGAACTCCTATAAATAAAAGGAAGAAAAAAATTTATGGCCATATAATTGAAACTTTTGTGGTAAAGCATTCAAAAGAAAAGGGGGCGTTATTGTGCTCACCATGAAAAGGTGAAACAGAGAGGTGGGCACGGATGCTTGTGTGTTGCTAATGCGTGAAAACTATCAAAAACATTCTCACTAACTCAAGAATCTGCTCTTATATACATCCATAGACATCCTTGTTCTCGTCACTTGTTTTATCATTCGAAAAGTCGATACATGTTCTTAAACCTAAAGCCAAATCCCATGTATTCAAGCTCAGGAAAAGATTTGATGATCTCATTTTTTACATAGTTAGTAACAAGCTTTTCAAAACCAGAAATTATACTGGTTGACAACCGACCTTGCTTGATATGGCTCACTGATTAGCTTTAAATGAGCGTGTGACAACCTTGCAAATTTGCAATCAGGTAATTGTGCAGCCCAAAAAGAGAGATAATAAGAAAAGTGGAAAATCAGGGGAACAAAAGCAAACAACTATGTTCATGTACTATACATTTATATATTTTATATTGGAAAATGATAATACTGTTGATATTACATATTGATATTTTCTACGCAGAAGCAAGGCATATGCTGTATGCATTGAAAGAACACAATAGTCGTGTAAAACTATCCTGTACAATCCACCTTAAGAAAAGGCATGCTTTATTACAAGCCACAATTTACAAAAAGACGGCAGTTAAGGAAGCCAGAGTTATACTTACCGCTATTTTTCCTTTTTATCGTCAATAAAAAAACTCCTGTCCTGATCCGCAGTCTTGAAACATCAAGGAACAGTTAACAAATCTCTCAAGCAGTCAATAAAATCTTGAACCGCGGGGGGCATTGCCTCTGTAATATGGTTCATTAGCAGGAAAATGTCCCTATTGAGGTCTAGGGGCTTGAGGTTGAGTACCATAAGGTGAACCTAATCATAAAAATAAAAAAAACAAGTTGTCCGTGAAGAGAGTCAATGATGTGTAATATGCACTAAATTACTAATGCAACAAAGGATACCCTAACGATGATATAACGTAAAATAGACTAAAAACTGGAAAACAAATAACAACTCCACATGCAATATTAAAGGTACCATCAGGAATATCAGACCCAGAGTACCCGTTATTACCAATTTGCAGCAAACTATACCGGGATAGGCAAATGTCAAGCAACATAGGGTAAAATGCAATATATTAAATCAATCTTTCAAAGAATAGCATTTGAGCAAAAAGAAGAGGCGAAATTAACATCACCAATTTTTTAAAAGCATGTTAGCACGTACGGTAACATAAGGACACATGTTTCAAGCAAAAAATATAATAATAATAAAAATAAATAAATAATGACACTTGCTCAGTTATGGGCAAATAGAAAATTGCAAACAACTGCTACAATGTCTATAGAGTAGCCCTCTCCTGTCTACCTACCATAGGGCGCCAGAGGACTTGGACAAAATGGAGGTGCTCTTGGAGCTGCTTGCTGATAAGAGCTGAGATTTTGAGGACCACTATAATGAGCAGGAGAAACATTATAATGGAGTGAAGCCCTGGTGCTTTCAAGAGGAAGAGGTTCAATCATACTATTACTACTATAGTTATTAATGGAGGCACCGAAATTATTACTATTGCCATCAACATCTGATCGGCTGCAAGTTTCAACCCCATAATTGGGGTAGTAACCACTATTATCTCTATGGAAAGAACTTTCATAATTTGAATTAGTACAAGTTCCATGCAGAGTAGTTGCTTTATGTGCGGGAAAACTTTGTTTTCCTCGGTATGCTTCTGGAAGCGATCTTGTACTTCCAAGCTGTCCAGTGACCTGTTAACAGGCAGACAATGGCAAAGTCAAAACGGAACACAGGAAATGAAGGCATAAAGAAAGTAATGACAAGATACAATAATAAATAAATGAATATGAAAGTAGTCAACTTATATTTATACCTGTGACCAGAGAGCATATTACAAGAATTAAACAAAGATGTATGGAAAAACTCAAGAGTCTCAACTTACTTGGTCGAGAATTTGGTAATTGGTACACTTCGATGGAGGGGCAGGTAAATAAGAACACATCCAATTTTCACTCGTAACTGAATCAAAGGAAACTAAATGAGAACCATATGCCTACAAAATGTCAAAACTACTGAACCAGATCCAGCTTGCAGCAAGGAGACGTGTTAGACAGAAACCTGTTGATGGTCCTTGATATTGCAGTGAAGGCATAGGATGTGGCCGGATGGGGCTCTCCCAAGGTGAATAGCTAGAAGTGGAACTTGACCAAACAGAGCTTCCCTGAGGATAAGGTGAGGAGTCATTCCTTGAGTTCGAATTGGATTTAGGTTCCAATGACCACTTCATTTCATCCAAACTTCTTTGAGATTCTACTTGGTCAAGTTCTGAAAATACAACCTTATATAGAGGAAAACAGAATTAGACAAAAAAACAGTCACAGCAGCAAAACTAACCGAAGTTTGTATCTGATTTACCTCATCAAAGTACTCATCTGAACCAGGCATATCCTTGTTGATAGGCAAGACATAATTGGCCGCCAAAACGTAATGCAAGCCAGAATAATTAAAGAATGAGGATATAAGAATGTGATCCATTAAAAAGAAGGGGGGTCAAAAAACTTATGTTGTTAGTACCTAACATGTTGTTTACTGCGTCAGCAGGTACCTCCTTTCCCATTTCTTGAAATCTTTTCTTAGAACGGAGCATCAACTCACCAGGTTGTGGAAATACCACCACAGCTATCTGAATGGGGGGGAAAATAGAACAGAAAAATTCACTACACGCAGGTGGTAAATATTCTCTCCAAATATATCTTCTTGAAGAGAGCAAATGGTTTCAGCTTACGTTTACGTGCACTCTTGAAAACATTTGTCTGATCAATTATGTAATTGCGATGTGTATTTGCTGCTCTTGATAAAGGGGTATTAAAAACTCCAGTAGCACGATCCATGAGGTGATCAAACCTTTCACCATAATTTTGCTTACGCAAATGTCCTGGCACCTATAGAGATCACCTTCTGTCAAGGGTAAGAAAGGAAAGTGACATAGTAGAAAATTAGCTTGCGCATTTGGAATAACAACACGAGCCGAGCTCCCACATAAATACACATGCACACAGTCATGCGCGCACACAAAAGAAAGAAGAAGAAGAAAGAAAGTGGGTAAACCTTCATTCGATCAAGAGCTAGATTCGTGCCAAGCGTTAAATAACGCTTCTCAGGATGCTCTTTCACCCATTTCTCCGCCCAGGTAGTCTTTCCTGATGCTGGTAATCCCACCATCATTATCACTTCACAATCCCCAATGTCAGAAAAAATGGGTCCCATTACGGCATTTCCATCCTCAAGAGCAGATTCCCAAGGCTTAAATCCTTCTTCAGGGACAAGCCCATCTTCAACACTGAACTGCAACTGAACGACAACGTTTTTTAGCAAAACATGAGGATAAAATGCTGATTTCCACTGTAGCTTTCTCACGGGGGAATGCACCACTCCCAGACCCTTTGGACCAGCATCAAATTTCTTTGCTATACCCAACCATTTACCATTCTTGGAGAAACCAATTGAAGCAAATGGTTTTTCTTCAAGATTAACAGTACAAACAATTGTATCTCCAACCCCAAACTTCTCACCATAATCCAAAAACTTCCCGTCATTTGAAAACTTTCCTGTGCCTCCAAAGCCAAAGCTATGCTCAGTTTCCCCTAGGTTTCCTACTGAATCATCTCCCCTAGAGACGCCAAGACGGCAAACATTCTTCTGCTCGGGGGAAGTGTCCTCCATCTCAACAGGCTGGATAGAGATAATTTTGCAGCTGAAACAATACTTTCCCCCTCTTATACCAACATTGGCACAAGCACCAGACCAACAATATGCAAATCCCTGCTCATGAAGTGCATATCCTTGGAGTCCATTGCCTTCAATAGTAAAATCTGAAGAGGAAAAAAGTTCACCTTTAAGCTTGGGAAAAAACACACCAAAAGTATTCAGTGAAAGTTTTCACATAGGAAATGATTTAGCCATTCAGGTTTTGAATCATTCAGTGAAAAAACATGCAAAAGGTATGATAATTTCTACTATTACAAGCATATTCTATTGATATCTGAAGGAAACAGTTAACAATAATCGGAAGACAAAAAAGCTCTTTAGTTTCTTTTATAGAGCCTCGAAATCCACCAAACCTGCTTAGTTGCCTCGAGTTCAAAATTGTAGCCCTGCCAACTGCCAAGCGGTAAGCCTACATTCTTTAAAAGACATCAAACTCCTAGTTATTTACCAGGTATCAGTCCCCAACCACCATGTTTCTTATCATCTTCTGTGACGACTTTAATCGTTCAGTTTTATCATATTCTCCCCTTTTCCTAAACTTCGTTGCAAAACATTTAAAGTGTATATGTATTTGTATATACACACCAGTATATATACACCCGATATATACATACCAACACGACTCTACACTTTTATCCTAAAATCAAAAAACAAAAACAAAAAAAAACAAAAACACTACTCTGCACATTCACAAGCTAACTCAAAGAAGTATCTTCAGTATAAGAAACTCATAAAGAGATAAACTTTAGTCAGCTCTCACGCCACAGAGGCATTTTCTCGTACAAGATTGCTTTCATCAATTATAATTCCGTAACTTCATCAATATTTCATAGACCGAAATACGTTATCGCGTATACACAATTTCATATGAGTACATAATCGAAAAATTTTACAATGGAAAGGATAACGGAAAACAGAGGCGAAAAGGAAATGAGATGGGAGATAGAGAGACCAAAAACCTAAGTCGCAATCGGCGGGATTAAGCACCACGCGCTGCTTCGGTTTCGGTTCCGAAGAACTTGAAGCGTCGTCGAACTTCGCTTTCTTAAACGCCTCAGGTTCGTCGTCTTCGGGAGCTCCGCGCTTCGTCGACGCCATTGACGGAGCTCTTAGAAGGACCGAAGAGGTGGTTGAGACAGGAAAGAGAGAATAGAGCGCGAAATGGGAGCAGCGCAGGTATTCTTGGGCTACATTAGATTACGAAGAGCCCGAGCTTGGGCCTTCTCCACGGCTTTTTTGTGATTAGGAATTAGGATACTAGATTTGGGGTGATGAGCTCACTTTGAGTTCAAAGCTTGAGGAAAGAACGTGGCATGCCATCAAAATTCAAAAGTTTTTTGAGTTTTATACGTAGAGAAATGTTAACGACTCTTTTTTTATAAATTTTTTTATTATTTTATATATTTATTATTTAACACATAAATTTTATTTTTTTATTTTTTATTTAAATAATATATTATAATAATAAAATTTACGTGTTTAACAATAAAAAATAAATAATGACAAAGAGAGAATAATGTTAATATTTCTCTTATATTTATTTATGTTACTTTAATTTATCTTAGTAGAATCTTTACTGATGCCACTCATTATATAGGGTGAGAATTATGTCCTAGAACAGGTCTCTAAAGCCCTGTTTCGAACCCGGATTATTTGGAGGAAATGAAAAAAATCTGATGGATTTTAGGGCTTGCTCTTTTGAGTGAAAAACTCAATAAAAGGTAATTCGAGTTACAATTTTATTTGAGTTCATGTTCTTTTAAGTTTAAACTCGAGTTCCAACTCGAGTTTAGGACTAAAACTCGAGTTCAAGTTTCCCCTTCAACTCGAGTTCAGAAATTCGAACTCAAATTAATGAACAGTATTTTTTTAATTCTTAAAAATACTATAAATTTTTCTTTTTAATTCTGACTGAGATGATTTTTTTCTATGCTTTGACAACGAAAAGACGAATAAAACTCGATCCATATACCCTATCAAAATTTTTCATCAGCATTAAAATACTATCTAAATATAAATTTAAGTTTTGACTCACTCAAACACAAACTTAAAAAGATTCTTATCTCAAACCATAACTCAAATGTACACAACCAAACACAAACTCAAATTACAAGTTCAACTCAAGTTATAACTCAAATTTAACTCAAGTTACAACCAAACACAAACTCACAGACGGCGGGGCGCAATCACAGAATAGAAACGGAAACGGAAACAAACAGGCTCTTCTATTTTTTTCCCCCTTCTTTATTTTTTTTTTCTTTTTCCTTCAAATTTTCTTTCCCCCACAAAATCCAACTTCCAAACATAGCCTAAGGATTGGTCAAAGATCAACAAATAGGGAAATTAACTCTGTTGGTCATTTCCCCTAAAAAAAAAAACTCTGTTGGTCACCGACAACGGATACTAAAATAATTTACAAGATTATCATAGGTAATCTATTAGATTATATTGCCAGAATAAAAAAAAAAAAATTGTAGCACTTGATTCTTTCCTTTCTTTGGAAAAAGAATGGAAGAAAGCAAATAATTCAGACAAAAGAAAGAGGCCAAAAAAAAAAAATTTGTTAAATAACACATCAAATTTTGTACAAACAACTAAACTGCACACCAAAAAAAAAAAAAAGACGCACACATCTTCTACTCATGTTGAGCAGTAGTATGACGCAGTAGTTTGTTCAATTTCAACTGCTAAATGAAATAAAAACAATCTTAACAGCTAAAAATTGTTTTAGCTAAAAAGAAATTTATTATTATCATATAAAGGTTCAAATTAATTGCAAATGCACCAAAAAAAACACACACACACACGCACGTTCCACAACTTCTCAAGCTAAAACTTTTCGACGATAGTTCATCTTGGAACTTTTTTGCTGTATTAGGGCTCGTTCGGTTCACTAATTCGAGTTGAGATGTGATGTTGTGTGAGAACTTTTTACTGTAACAAAAAAGTTAGATGTGACTGTTTTTGAGAGCTTTTTACTGTAGCAAAACTCAAATTCTAAATTCGAATCAGCGAAATGAACGGGGCCGGAAAGTTGACTGTTGATTATGAGATTTTTTTTTGGTCACTAGATTAGGCATTCACGGTGTGTGCACGTGGAAAATGAAGGAGTTACAACTTCTAAAATGGGATACCTATTTTGAGAAGAGAGGGGGGAAAAGGTGGAAGAAGAATAAACGCAATTAACTCTCAGTTTGTCTTTTTGATGTACTACATTTACGCCTTTTTTTATGCAATTTCTAAAATAAATAGGACCAACTCTGCCAGTTGATAACGATGTGCAAATTGGAAGCGCAATAGTTTTGTTGGCTAAAGATGATTCAGGACTGCATGTGAAATGCAAACGCGAAATGGACGCCTCTCAGTCACATTCATAGGATTGACCAGAGCATGAAGGATCCCATGAAAAACCATTGACATGGGGTTAACAGATACACGCATGACTAGGCGTCTACACAAGGGAATTCACCTTTTTTGTCAAAGGAAGTTTCTTAGGCAATATTCTATGTCCTGAGTGACATCTTATTTCCGGTGAGGTTATTCTTTCCGTAGGGTTTTTTTTTTTTTTTTTCCTCTTCTTTTTATATAGTGCGGGCTCTTTAGCTCCCACAAAAAAATGGAATTTAAAAAAAATTGAATCACGACCTCGTTCACTTCGCAGATTCGAGTTTTCAATTCGAGCTGAAATGTGACATTTTTTGAGAGCTTTTCACTGTAGCAGAAAAATTTAGATGTGACATTTTCTAAGAGCTTTTTACTGTAGAAACCTAGAACTGAAAACTCGAATCGGTGAAATGAACGAGCCCCATAATTCAATCTGGTTAACATATGCAAACATATACTAAGTTTGGTGGATAGATCTAGAATCATGATTCTGGATCCTAGTTCAGAATTATTGTTTGTTTACAGTGATTCTGAATCATGATTTTGAATTAATATTTGATTTGGATGATTCTGAATCATGATTCAGAATCTGATGTGATATTTTAAATCAAAATCACTCATGATTCTAAAATCACTCCCCATCTTGATTCAAGGTGATTCAAACCCCTGATTCTGAATCATGATTTGAACCTAAAATCGTAAATCATAATTCTGATTTTAAAATTATGATTAGAATCACTCTAATTTAAATCATCGTACTAAACAAACTCTTAAGCACCCAAGAACTTGAGCTTGTTGTCACGTACCCTCGAGTGTCAGGGTAAAGCTGAAGAGGCATGAGGCGAGCTTCACTTTGATGACATTCCCACCGCTCTAAGATCACTTTTTTTTCCCCCCCTAGGTTTCAGATTACCCAAAATGGAGAGTAATTCACATAGGTTCACTTATTTATGTTTTTCAAAAGTCTAATAATTGAACTAAATTACCGCAATATCAAATGGGCCAATAATGTAGGGGATTGACCTACATGTTTTGCAACTTTAAACATTCCATATGTAACCCACCAGAAAAAAGAAAAAACTTGACCCCGCCGGGTCTTGCTTACAAGTTTCTCGCTTTGTCTTTCTAAGCTTTCATCAATTTGTGCCTCGAAAATAAAAAATAAAAAATAAAGCGCGCATGAAATTATTCTATTTCACAAAAATTAAAAGGTAAAGGAAAAGCTCCATGGCCGAAGATTTTCAACACTTTGACCTATCATGTTGAGCTCTTAGTATCTAATGGCATAAAACCACATTCTCTCTCTCTCAATACTTTTATGCCCTCTTTAATATTTCTTAATATTGTATCCCTTGAGAAAGCTCTGTGATATTTCTTATTTAAAGAGAAAATGAAATAATAAATTACAAGTGTAAAAAGTGAATGTAAAGAGTGTTTAAAAGAGTCATAGTAGCATTTCTCTATTACCCGTTTTGTTTTGTTTAAAGTTCATGCACACACGCATATGTACAGCTGTTATTCACTGAGAGCAGAGTACTGCTGGTTGTTGTCCACCATAAGTCTCTAACGCGTATAGTTTTACGGTGATGTGAAACTGATGCTTCCATGCCCTTTCGAGCGACAGCAAAATGCCAAACTAATGTTTCTTTTAGACAATCATGCTAAAATTGGGAAAAAAGAGGGGAAAAAAAACCTTCAGAAAAAATAAAAATGGCAGTTCTAACACGCCAAAAATGCTCCAATTAATGAATGCACATTGCGTAGACTGTCAACTTTAGCGATCTATTATCTAATCACAGTCCAAACGACATAGATACTAGACCGTGGTAAGACATTCCAAGAATCTTGCATTCTCTGAGGATCCCATTAATAATATCTTTTGAGACTTGACCATCTCGAATCTTGAACTCCCCACTCTGATAGATATCCCTAATTCCTATAATGAAAACTATGCAATTCGATATACATGGATCTTACATGGATGATGGACTCGCCTTCTAAAATCTTACTTTTTGATTCACTTTCGGGTATTAAAAGCAGGATATATTCAGCAAAGTAAAGGCGAATTCAAAAGCTTTGAACGGAGAGGGCGAAAACAAAAGCTTTGAACGGAGAGAACGAACACAGAAGAGCAAGACAAATAAATAAAAAGCAAACCTTTTTTTGCCCATTTTATTATACAGCTCAAAGAGTATGCGTATTCAACTGTACACTCTAAAAACTTTTTTTTTTTTTTAATCAGATTGAAAGAGCGCAATCTTGCCCTTCAAGAATAGTGGAACATTTTTTTTTTCCTCTCTATCACTCTCTGTTTCGGTCTAGAAATGTACAGAATGATACAAACAAACAATCAATCAATCAAGCCATCCCATTCAATGAAAGGGATTGAACAAACTGGCCTGTAAAGATTCTCTTGACCGTGTACAACCTTGAAACCGATATAAGCAAACCCTCCTACCCTGTAAAGCAATCAGCTAAATCTACAACTACGATTTCCTACCAAGGCACGAGAGTATTTGTATCTACAGAGTCTTTTCAATTGAAGAGATTCACCGATATGCTGTCGAGATTCTTCCCAAAGAGCCGCGACTTAATCGGCCTGGATTGCTTCGGCGCATTCGGAGTTTCGATCTCGTCGCCGACGTCGCCAGAATCCTCCAAATCAATGGCGGTTCGGAATGCGCGGACCTTCTTCGGCGTGCTGTAAGCGAAATGTGATTGCTTCGCCACCAGAGTCTGCAATCGAAAAGCAAAATCGAGATCAATTTCGATACCGAATCCATTTGACCTAAAATCAAAAGAAATGAGCAATTTTAGTAACACTTACCGCTTCTCTGATCGATTTCGATACGTGAGAAAGCTGATTGAGATCCTCATGGTCCACACCACACAGAATCCTAACCTGCAACAAATTGAAAATTCAGATTACTCACCAATCGCATCGGAATCACAAAACCGCCATTAGAGCTTCGCGAAATTAGGGCTTACCAGAACGTCATTGGGCAGAGCTTCGAGAGGAGACCTCTCGAGGTCCATAACCACCGTATTCATCCCGCCACATCGCTTCTTCGTCGGAGTCTTGGGACTCGAATCCCCACTAAGATTGGAAATGACGATCCTCTTTCTCCCAAACGATGTCGAAAAATACCTCACAGGCCCTAACTCCAAACCCTCATCGCCGACGAATCCACCGCGCTTCGGCCCCGTAAAACTCCTGCACTTCTTCCCCAACGCCATTTTCTCCGATCACGTCCGCAAATCAAGATTCAGAAATCCTGCACAAAAACAGAGCCATGGAAGATGAGATTAATGGCTAATAAAGAACCCAAAAAAAAAAACCCCCCCTAGAATGCAAATTCGATTGAGGAAGATTGAGAGAATATAACAAACCTTGTTCTCTAGATTAAGCCTTAGATTATTTTGCGATTCTGACTCTGGTTTGTCACCACCGCGTTAAAAACGGCTTGCTGTGAAAATAGAAACAAAAGAAACTACTCCTCGAAATTACGGGGGGGAGTTGCTTTAAATCTCTTTTATATAGAGGGAAAGTATCGTTTTTGCTTTTTCGAAAACTGTGCTGTGAAAAAAAATGCTTTCTATCTACGCGGTTTGCGGAATCTACTGGAATTTTCCAAAGGATAAAAAAATCTTCGTCCTTTCCCTTCGTGCGCTTTGATTTATTTTTATTATTTATTATATATATATATATATATATATTTTTTTTTTTTTCTCTTTTGGCATTTCTCGGGAAAAGTTTCTCTCTTTGGCGGTTAAGAAAGATGTAACTGAGAGAGGGAAAACTAGCCGTTTGAATGGGACACGTGGCGAAACCAGGTGGGGGCGGTAGGAAGGAGCATATCTGCTTCTCATCGATGACGTGGCGCTTGGTCGGCCAAAGTCGGCTTGTCGGTAGCTTCCTCAGCACGTTGCGCTTTATTGGACCTGTGCGGTGAGATAGTTAGTGACCGTCAATCTGATAGCGCCACGTCATCACGTTTGTTTTGATTTTGACACGTGTAGG